GGTAGCTGGTATAACTCAAGTCTCATCCCAGCCCCGCAATATTCATAACGGTCACCGCCACAGACCATTGAACAGTCCGCGTCGGGAACCTGCGTGCTGAGACTATCCAAGGCATTACCGCAGTAACACTCCCGGCCATATTCCGCTGCCCAGTACGTGAAACCAGTGCAGTTCGATGCACACATCTCCAATGTCATACCGTCATCCGCATAAGCTGCTCCAGTCAGGGCTCGGCCACCCGAAATTTCGGTGTAGCAACCGACTCGGACATACAATGACACAGTTGGCTTGGCAGCCAGTGTGGCGGTTGGGGCTGGCTGGCTAGCCGTTGTACTGTACAGCTCTATTCTATTACTATCTCCGCAGTATTCGGTAGCGTCGCCGCCGCAGACCATGTTACAGTCGGTCAATGGCGCATTTTCACTTGTCGAATGGAGCGAATTGCCACAGTAGCCTGCATAGGGTGTCAGTACCATCGCTTGCTAGCGAATCCCGCGGGGTTTAAGGACTCACACTCTCGGCCATATTCGGTACCCCAGTATAAATAACCAGTGCAGTTCTTCATACAAGTCTCCAGGGTCATACTATCATAAGCGAATGCGGCATCGCCAAGCGCGCGAGTTCCTGCTGCAGTTGACTCTGTCTGGCACCCTACGAGTACATACTCACCAAGATCCTGTCTGTGATGCAAGGTCTCTGTCGGTGCTGTGGAAGAAGTGACAGTGCTGCTCACTGTGATAGGCGAGCTGGTAGGCAAGAAAGATGAAGTCGACGTAGTGGTGTCTGTTATTGACAAAGAAGTGGTTCCTGCAGACGAGGTACTTGGAGCTCCAGGAAGTGTCGACGCTTGTCCGGTAGTACACATAGATGACGGCGGATCTTGGAAAGTCTGACAAGTCGCTGCTAATTCGCTTGCGGCGTTGAAGTCGTCTGCCAGAGCCGAAGTCCCACTTCCGCTAATGACATCGACTTTAGACGCATACGCAAGATCGCCAAGCCTAGTGACGTTGGCAGTATAGAACGTATATAAGCCTACACAAGTCGCTTCGGTCATAGTGACCGTTGCGTTTCTGAGGCTAGGCACAGGGAGGTTAGAGTTCCCCGTGGGGGTCTTGTACGAGAGAAACATGCTAACAGGCAGAGATTTCCGATCGTTGCGAACCTGGAGGAGCAAGTCAGTGTTTGTCCACAAGTTGGGACGCTGGGATGACTCACGGCTGCCGTGACAGTCAGAGTGCCAGAAAGAAGGCAACTCTGAGGTTTTTGAATCAAGATTGCGTCCTGCATAGGGTACGAATTTCCATTGTTATCAAAGGTTTGAGTCGTTCCGCTGGCCATGTTGAGGGCTAGGGTAAAGGATGAGATGCCAGTGGAGGTGGAAATGGAAGCATCGATAGGAAACCACTTAGATATGTCAGATTTTGATCGATAAATACAGTTGCATATTATTTTTGACTTCATAACTCACAACAAATTGGTCATCGAAGCCCTGGGTGGCCCCCAAAAGAGTTGCCGTATACTGGCAGCTTGCGCTACCGCAGTTGTCACCTCCACTTCTATCTTTGTATTTCAACGTTAGGCTAGAGACTGAATCTCCACCCAAGTCCGTTGTCCGAACACGTATGAGACCTGTCAACTGCATTGTAGTAGCTCCAGAATTCAGTGCTAACTGCATATTAACTGGCTTGACAAAATATGGCTGGATAGGATCCGATAGAGTTACGCCGTCAGGTACTGTTTCAATCATCTTCTGAAGAACAGTGGCACATATGCCATTAAAGTCAGCAGCTGCTGCCATTGCTTTAACTGTTGCGTTTCCGTCGTAACTGAAAACTTTGAAGTCCGCGTTCCTAGTAGCCTTGATAGATGGCCCAACCACCATGGGGTTAGTTGTGTTGCCATTGACGTATTCAGTGACGATCTTGTTATCGAAAGCGGCAACAGTCGAGTCCAAAGGAGCCTCACCGTTGGACGTGGATCCAACTGGAACAATCTCCGGGAATTCGTCTTCATGAACACCGCCAATAGAATGACCGCAGGCAGTGACTTGAATCATCTCCGTTTTGTTGAAGCCCATTCGAATAAATTGCTGCTCAAAGGTGAAGGCAGTGTTCTGCGGTAGCGGGACGCCTATAGGACCAGCTGCCACAGCGTCAACCCTCCCGCCAGCTACGGGTACCACAGGGCCACCGCAAGACCTCACTGCGTAATATACCCCTAGAGCAATGAGATCCGCCACGCTTGATCGGCTAGTATAATAGTCGGCCAGGAACTTGAGAGTCGTGTTGAAACCCGGACCGAGATTGTCTGAACTGGTTAGTTCATATTGTAAAGACCCGTCCAAGCCACCAGCTCGCACACCACCTAAATCGGTAGTCGTGGCCATATCATGGAACGCTGCCCGTAACCACTCTGCAGCATTTTGTCGACCAGGTCCAGATGCTTCATTGGAACATGGAATGACGGTACCGCCAAAACCTCTACCCCTGTAGCCCTTGACTTGGTACATGATCTCCTCGAGTTCGTCATTAGGGGAGGGCCACGTTGGGTCTGTCCTCACGAGAGTAGTCAAGGATAGTATGGCCACCCAGTAAAAGCCACACCAACGCATCGTGGCGGTAGATATTTTTCGACTAGGATATTAGAAATTAAGGAGCGAAAAGCAAATATTAGCCAGAAAATGGCCTCTCAAGCCACAAAGGAGTCTCAGGATGGGCTGGATCATGAAGGGAGACTATTCCGACATCCAACCAAGGGAAATTATAGTAAGAAATAAAGGTTTATGAATTAACGAGCGAACTGGTAGAAAAAAACCTACGAACCTACATTGTGACTTGCTTCTGAGAGCACTTCGCCGCTACATCGTGCCTGACAATCTTTCGATAAATTGTGTGAGAGAGCAGAGCGATGCGCCCAGGCTTGGTGGCTGCAGAACCCCCTGCAACAATAAAAATACGAGACCTCGCAGCGACGCAATGCTACCTAGAGTAGCGCCTGGAAGCGATTGGTCAGAACTAGCCTCTTGTGAACGTCAAAACTTAAAGGAGGCCATCTACTAGCCATGAGATAATATGCTTACCTGCTAGCATGTCATTCATGGTGCTTCAGCTCCCCGGGACTGCTTCTTAGGGATAGAGGGGGGAAAATATAAGCATTAATAGCTAGGTACCATACCCCAACTAGGAGCCAGCTATGATAATGGCCGAAAGTTTGGTGAAGTATGTACTAGAACGTGAGAAAGACTGCATCCAGAGTCATCTTTGACTTTGAGGAAGGGTCTGCATAGCGGCGCTGTCCACGTGGGTGATTAATATCATTAGTTCGAACCCAGCTGATGGTTGGATCATTTCAACCATTGAAATCCTGCCCAAAGCAGCTATTTCTGTCCCCCCCAGGGGACCTTCCATGTTAGTATAAACAAACGGCTGATGGGCTGATTTTAGAATGCATACGTTTCCAGCCTCATGCCGTTCAACCTACGCTAGAGCAGCGAATCGTTTTTAAAATAATATAGCCCGGTAGGTACCTGGAGAAACCTCGATGACTTGTGTTAAGCAAATATAACAACGATATCCAGACTATCGGGTCCTTAAACTTCCCAGATTGGAACCCAGCCCCAGGAGCTTGTTTCCTTGTGGGACTCAGCGGCAAGGTAAGTTGGGGTTGGTAACTCCAACAATTCAGGAGTGTCGGGAAAACATCGCGAATCCTAGCCGCTGACGACGGGATCTAAAATCTTACCGCATTAAGGAGCAGGTCCTTGGAGGTACGATAATTCTTGCTCTAACGAGAAGCGCTATTGAATGCAAAAGAGCAAGTTTCGTTTTATTTTTCTCAGTTCCAAATTCCGAAAGCCCAGCTATGGCATGTACTATTGACATGTGCGCTGAGTGGTTCAAGGACCGACGATTCGCGACGAAGGATCAGGGTGGTTCGGAAAGTCAAGCTTTTCAGATCCTGGAAATCACTTATCGGAATACGTACCTCGTATGTACATAAGACCCTGTAATCTCGAACAGCGGGAGCCTCCAATTCGGTGCGATTTCAATTACCAACTTCCTGTCCCGTCCTAGCGTCCTTTCGACCCAATGGCACAAACAATGTAGGCAAGCAATATCACCACGGCTTTGGAAAATTACTACCTATACGAAATGTCTTATGATATGTCATAAAAATGAATTAAAATCTGTTGGACTAGATACACTGGTCCAGAGCGTGTCAACCTTTATACTTACCTGTATAGAGGTACTCCGCGTCCTGATGATTAGATAGGTTTAGGTAGCTTACATTAGCTACCTCTCTTCTCGCGATAGGTAGCATCTCGGAGGAAATCTTGACTTGAATGTACGTTTGATCGTATCCGACTGCATAATATATAACAGTGCTAGTTGCGCGAAAAGTGAGAAGCTTCCCTCATTAGGACAGGAGATGCAGCCATTCCTGACACATAATGGACAATTATATCTCACATGTTGGATATTTCCCCGTGCCAATATTCCTACCGAATAATGCTGAGAACTTTTTAGTTCAAAAATTACATACCTTCACCCTTGCCGCGCACACACCGAAGCGGTAGAATTCCTAACAACTCAAGTGTAATATCTTGAAATCTTAACATTTGGCCAGCTCAAACTTTTTTCCTGTGACAGAGCTGTGATACATTGTGGCCATTACGAAGTCGTCCAAAGCAAAGAGTCATGTGTAGTGCATGGTGCTGCTCCCAGTAATTTACTATCATCGACTCGCTTTATAGTCGATGAACTAGATATCCATTAGAGATACAGAGACAACTACAGCTCCATATAATGTATGGGCGGGATCCTGATATGATGTTTGTTACCTGCATGACCAGGTATTGTGCCTTAGTTCAACCATGTGGTGTAGAAACTCTGATCCACGATTTTACCGTCCAGCCAATGAAACTGCAGAAGATTACATTATAGATGCCACTAACCTTTCAATGTACAACTCTAGGTGATGTTCGCAGACATTGAACATAATCCGAATTGGTGTAGTGGCTAACATTTGACGCTCTCAAGACATTGTGATCCGTCAAGCCCGGGGTTCGATTCCCCGATTCGGAGTACTTTTTTCATTTTTTATTTTTATTTTTTTACTCACTGAATCATTATGACTGATAACTTATATTTATGAAAGGAGATCTATTACCAAAGGGCCTGATAAGAAAAGTTATCTAGGTCTAGATATGCCCGCGTTAATATTTCAGTGAGAAGTTAAGGGAATTAGAAGCATATGCTTGCATGTTTGCTTTTGCGGGAACATCCACATCGCAATCACTCGGGGAAAGAAAGAAAAACCCTTGTATCCACGAATGCTACTTAGGTGAATCATTTTTGAAGCCACAGTGCAAAGAACCCCTCCAGATTCCTCATGGCGGGGTACATTGTTGGGCATCTTCCGCTTAGAAGAATTGTGCATTTTCAATTCTGTCTAAGAGCATAAGAGCATTCGCCAGATGCACATAACAGAAGAGTGGGGAGGTCAATCCGAAAATTCGCTTAGCCCTCACGCAAGCCCACGCAAACCCACAAGAAAATTAATTTGCTGGTGGACTTTTTCATTTTCCAAAGCTCAACATCACCAAATTGAATCTTGAGACCATCAACCACCAGCGTCGAGGTAAGTGCGCGTAAGTCGGCCCTCTCACCAACACTATTATTTTCTCAATTCAACAGTGCTTGAGCACCCAGTTCCATGTCATCAATTGACTGACCTTTCTGTTCTAGATTTACGACCTTCACGATGGCCTCGAGACCGACTGTCACCATCATCGGCAAGGATGGTTCTCCCTCGGGAGCTACCCATACCATTCCTACCGTCTTCGCCTCGCCCATCCGACCCGACATCGTCCAGCAAGTCCACACCGGAATGGCCAAAAACAAGCGACAGCCCTATGCCGTGAGTGAGAAGGCTGGTCACCAAACCTCCGCCGAGTCTTGGGGAACTGGTTAGTAATTTGAAATTTCATTTGTACGCGAAGAGGGCCTAGGCGATCCTCTAGCGGGTTCCATAGATAGACCTCTTCGCAGTATTCCTCGTAGTGATTTTTCTTGTGCTTACAATTTCGCGTAGGTCGCGCCGTCGCCCGTATCCCCCGTGTCTCTGGTGGTGGTACCCACCGTGCCGGTCAGGCTGCCTTCGGTAACATGTGTCGTTCCGGTCGCATGTTCGCCCCTACCAAGATCTGGCGAAAGTGGCACATCAAGATCAACCAGGGCCAGAAGTAAGTGAAACGAATCTTCCGAGCAATTGAACTACATAGCTGACATATCAAAAGGCGATTCGCTACTGCTTCTGCTCTTGCTGCTTCTGCTGTTCCCCCTCTACTACTCGCCCGCGGCCACCAGATCTCTTCAGTCCCCGAAGTTCCTCTTGTTGTCGACTCGGCCGTCTTTGAAGGTGGTGCTGCTGCCAAGACTGCTAGCGCTCTCGCCATCCTGAACGCTGTCGGTGCTGGTGCCGATATCGAGAAGGCCAAGAAGTCGAAGAAGCTCCGTGCTGGAAAGGGTAAGATGAGAGGCCGCCGCCACCGCCAGCGTCGTGGACCTCTAGTCATCTATGACCCCGAGGTTGATGGCAAGGAGATCGTCACCGGAACCCGCAACCTACCCGGTGTTGAGACTTGCTCTGTCTATGCTCTCAACCTCCTTCAGCTCGCCCCTGGTGGCCACCTAGGTCGATTCATCGTCTGGACCTCGGCTGCCTTCAAGGCTCTTGACAAGATCTATGGCACTACCACGAAGCCTTCTGAGCTGAAGAAGGACTTCCTCCTACCTTCCAACCTGGTTTCCCAGGCAGACCTAAGCCGTCTGATCAACAGCTCTGAAATTCAGAGCGTCCTCAACGCTCCTAAGGGTGGTTCTCTGACCAAGCGTGCTGCCGTGCAGAAGAACCCTCTACGCAACAAGCAAGTCATGCTGCGCTTCAACCCTTACCACGCCGCCTTCGTGAAGAACAAGATCGGCCAGCAGAAGGTTTCGGAAGGCAAGCCCCCCAAGCCCCCTAAGGCTTTCCTGGAGGTTTTGCGTGAGGATTAGACTAGCTTGGTGAGCAGCGTAGTCTAGCTGGAGGAAGAGGGAAAGGGTGCATCAATTGGTAAATCATGGCGTAATGGATCATAGGGTCTTATGAATGAATCAATGGAATTCTCATTCTGATCGCCACGCTTCATGTCTAATCGTTGATTATTAATGATCAACTAGTGGTCCCTTGAGGTACTAAGTGCGATATCTCATTAGTTCTGCGAATTCGCGCCCCCCTGAATATACCCAATTCCGTTATGCGAAGAATTCTTCTCTGTTACTAACCATTGTTTACTTTTCGCTACCATAAGCAAGTTGTCTACGGGGATACGTCGTGACTTCACGGCCCTTGGTTCAACCTGTTGAGATAATTGAGAGAATAGATCCCCAACGCGATTCGTCTTGACTTTTTTCCATGCTTGGCCAAAGTTGTGATAGGTACCTAGACTTCTTACGACCCCTTTACGAACTACCGAGTCATACGAAGCGACACAAGTATGTCTCACTGTTTTTTGGGTAATCGATCAGCCTCTCCGTCGTTCTTATTTACCCCACAAATAAGATTCAAGAGAATGCATGATCGTCAAGACGTTACTTCGTTTATTCTAAACCGTTAGTGAATTTACTTTGGAAATATAATTGGCTGAAGTATCCACACTCTGATCTCGTAAGCGCCAACATTCATGAAGCTCGCTCAGACCTGGGATACAGTATTGAGTTTCTGACGCGTCATGTCAGACGTCTCGATACATTCACATAATCCATAAGTTCTTAACAGCCCATCCAGCTTCCCAAATTTACCACGTCCGTCATTGCTTCCGTATGCAGGCTATTGGCGTCGTCCAAAATCGACTCCAGCTCCTTGACATTCTTGATGCGCCAGAATTTCTGGACGCCCTCAGCGAAGCGCAGGGAGCATGCTTCGATATTCTCTTCCGACTCTGCGGCAAAGCATAGCCGGAAATACGCCCATCCCCGCTCGTTGCGGATCTGCGGAGTTGTGCTGAACATCAAACCAGGGCTGGCAAGAACCAGGAATGGCTTGCGTGTTAAAAAGATCATGAGCGCGGTACATAGCGCGGTCCCGTTGATAATGTTGCCTTTGGAACCAGCTGCTTTCCACAATGGATGCGTCTCGAAACGCATATGAATCCAAAGGAACATGCCGCCCCGTGGCCATTGGAAATCATATAGCTGAGTCTTGGTAATGACGCCCCAGTCAGCGTCTGACTCGCGCATCGGCGTCGACTGTTTAAGCTGGTACGCGTTCTCCTCGAGGATCCTGCACATCCGGTTCATTCGCCTCTCGTATACACCGCGTAGGCCGGCAAGCCATCTTATCCAGCCATCCATCTTCCACCCGGTAAAGGTCAGTCGATCCTTCGGGGACTGATTTGCGAACGCTGCCGACGCATCGGGCTGTGGCCCCATGATAGTCTCTGCGATAACAACTTGGACAAAGCCTGACGGCTGTTGGGTGCCTGCCTCGCTGACACGAAGGAGGCGCTCACAGTTCGCCGGGGAAGAGGTGATCCATCCCATCCGACATCCTGGGGCCACGGTCTTGGAGAAAGTGTCTAATCTCACAACCCGACCGTCTACATCAATGTTGAGAAACGACGGCACAAGAGAATCTATGAATGGGTACCCAGATTTCTTTTCGAGGGTATTCGCTTCTTCTGGTTCGGGAATGGGTAGATTCCTCGCCTTTGCCTCTTCGATCTCGGCCGATGGGTACTGAAGATACCAATATGGGTCATCCTCAACGATAATGACATCGTATTTGCTGCATATTGAGTATAATTCCTTCCTTCTCTCCAAAGATAACACACCGCTCGTTGGGTTATGGCCCATTCTGATGAATAATATTAGCAAACCCCGTAGGGAATACATTTGGCAATGGGCAAACTCACGTGACAGTATACATCAGATGTGGCCGTCTCCCCTTACTATAATCCCAATTCGAAAGCACATCATCTAGACTTCCAGGACCATACGGAGCCATACCCTCTTCATCCATTTCGACGGCTACGACCTGCACTCCTCGCGGCTGTGCTTGGGAGAGTACGCTAGAGTACATGAACACTTCACTCACCATACCTGGCCGATCGCGGATATCGTTTTTTCCTTCCACCCAGATATTGGTGAAGACCTCTAAGCACTTTGACATGCCATCCGTCGAACCAACTGTAAAAATAACTTCAGGCCCTCCCCTGTATGGTACGTTCGGATGTAAGACCTCCCGCGCGAATTGGCGGACGAAGGAAAGTAATGGTGGATATCCACTAGCTTGACCGTATTGCAGGGCCGACGCGAGATCTATCTTCTTCATTACGTCCGAAGTAGGCGCGTCGTGAGGTACCACAACATGGGATGCCGTGGTAGACCCCGATATCGACGTCGCGGCCAACTGCGAAGACAGCGGGCCGTCGACGCCTGGACGGTTCGGCGACGGGGTCCATCGATCCGGCCTTGCAGTCTGGGCTTCTAGAGTGTCGAAAGGAAAGAGTTTCGCATTGGGAAGACCTGAGGCATCGGATCAGCGGTCAAGGTTCGCACGGACATGACAAGACGAGAAGATTGATAAGGGCTACCTACCGCCAGCAAGTTGGCCAATGTTTGGAATTTGAAAGTATTTGTAAAATTCTTTCATTTGATTAGGCCCCCGAGCCTTGGTGACATCCGAGAAGTGGTGGGACATGTCCTTTGGCAAGGGCTTCGCCATCTCGGCGATATTGTCGTTCGACGCTTCCATGATGCACCAAGCCGATCCGGATTTTGATACTTGGTAAAGTAGCGTTGTATGTAATATGGAATATACCTAGATAGTTGTTTTGCATATATGGAGGCTACAGAGTCGGAGTACTATAACGTCTTACAGGTAAAACATGATGAGATGGACGGACAGATTAGTACAAAGATTACAAATGCGTCTACCCTAGGTAGGTATATAATCTATGTAGGGTTCTATCTATATCAAAGCCGAAAGATATGTTGCGGATATCGGTTCGCCGTGCGATTAGACGAATTGGCATGTCGAT